GGAGATCGTGCGTGTCGAGTGCGCGAAATGCAGGCGAGAGTGCGATTGAGTCTGTATGCGCGCGCAACCCTTTACGGAGACTGTGCGTGTCCAGGGTGCGAAATGCAGGCGACTTTGTAATGCACCTTTAGTACGCGGAGTATGTGGCGGGAAGATGAGAACTGGTGATTTTGTAGTAGAACTGTAGTACGCGGAGTAGCTGGGGAGCTGGAAGCTGAGAACTGGCGACTTTGTAGTACAACTTTAGCACGCGGAGCAATCTGTGGAGCTGGAAGCTGAGAACTGGCGACTTTGTAGTACAACTGTAGTACGCAGAGTAGCTGGCGAGCTGGAAGATGAGAACTGGCGACTCGGTAGTACAACTGTAGTACGCGGAGTAGCTGGGGAGTGGGAAGATGAGAACTGGCGACTTGGTAGTACAACTTGAGTACGCGGAGTATTTGGGGAGCTGGAAGATGAGCACTGGCGACTTTGTAGTACAACTGTAGTACGCGGAGTAGCTGGGGAGCTGGAAGATGAGAACTGGCGACTTGGTAGTACAACTTGAGTACGCGGAGCAATCTGTGGAGCTGGAAGATGAGAACTGGCGACTTTGTAGTACAATTTTAGTACTACAGTGTGCGCTTCATTCCAGCTTGCTTTTTTCAGTGAGATTTCCTGGAGGCGCGCACGCTGCTTCTCCCCTTACCAGCAGCCCCAATGCTCTAGAGACGACGGGTGGCCCGAAAGCATTGTTCATCACGTAGGAAGTCAGAGTGGGAGTTATTTGGCGAGTGTTCTGTGTGAAGTGTTAAGTCGAGTGAGTTGAGGTAGTGTGTGTATCTATCTCTGTGTGTGTATGCGTCTCTGTCTGTGTCTGTGTCCGAGTAAGTTGAGGCAGTGCGTGGGTCTCTGTCTGTGATATGCGTGCATGAGTCCCTGTCTGTGTGTGTGTCCATGGCTGCTATGTCGATTACCTAGATCTACAAGTCGCGCAGGCCTCCCACACCCCCCACCGGCGGCCAAGCATTTTCTGTGTTCATTCCAGCTTGGTTTTTTCAGTGAGATTCTGCAGCCGTGCACGCTGCTTCTCCCCTTACCAGCAGCTCACATGCTCAT